CATTGTTGTCAGAACAATGTAAGAACAATATATTCTGTTCATCGAGGTGCATGCATCATCATTACTAAACAGAGCATCCCATTCGTCCCCGCACAGCGGATAAAGTGTGGCAAAGGCCGGGGGGTCTCCGCTATCGGCGGCGATTCGCTGCCAATAACAACTCCGACGCAGGCACCTAGGTAATGCCAACCCCGCCCCCAGAGCTTATCTCGACGGAGTATCTCCGCCTGCAGTCAGTATGTAGCCTAGACATGTCGCTGTTTCCCTTGCTTTCCTTTCCTCCCTTGCTTCTGCTGTCCTCTTGTATCATTGACGCTTAAGAACCCGGGCCTTCCCCAGACTTGACTTGGGGATTGCCTGCTCAGTTCTTCCTCTTGAACTCGACAGCGAAATCGGTCTCGTGACTCACTGCTACTTGCACCATGCGACGACCGTCCGTGGAGGCCAGCGTCAATGCCGACGCGGCGCTGGAGAAGATGGGCTACAAAAGCGAATTGCCCCGGAATCTGAGCATGCTGAGTGTGCTGGGGCTGTAAGTGCGATTCATTTCGCAGTTGGTCAATTGACAACACAACTCAACTAACTGGCTGAATTTCGCAGATCCTTCGCCATCATGGCCGCCCCCTTCGGCCTCAGCACGACCCTGTATATCACCCTGACAGACGGCCAGTCCGTCACCGTCATCTGGGGCTGGGTGCTGGTCACGCTCATCTCCATCGCCATCGCCGCCTCGCTGGCCGAGATCTGCGCCGTCTACCCGACCGCCGGTGGCGTGTACTACTGGAGCGCCATGCTGTCGACCAAGCGATGGGCGCCGTTGATGTCCTTCATCGACGGCTGGCTGACCCTCGTCGGGAACTGGACCGTTACGTTGAGTATCAACTTCTCCGGAGGCCAGCTCATCCTCAGCGCCATCTCCCTCTGGAACGAGGACTTTGTCCCCAACGCGTGGCAGACCATCCTCATGTTCTGGGCGGTGATGCTCGTTTGCGCGTTGGTCAACATCTTCCTGTCGAGATATCTCGATTTGATTAACAAGGTGTGCATCTACTGGACCGCGGCCAGTGTCGTCATCATCCTGGTGACGCTGTTGGCCATGGCCGACGACCGCAGATCGGGCGCGTTTGTGTTTGGGCATTATGATGCGTCTGCAAGTGGATGGTATGGCCATCTTCCCTCTCTTGCTTTTTTATACTAAATCATGTCATTCTAGGCCAACCGGTTGGGCATTCTTCGTCGGACTGCTGCAGGCAGCCTACACGCTGACCGGCTACGGAATGGTGGCAGCCATGTGCGAGGAGGTGCAGAACCCACACCTCGAGGTGCCCAAAGCCATTGTGCTGTCTGTTGTCGCAGCAGGGATTACGGGTCTTCTCTACCTGATCCCCATCTTGTTCACCTTGCCCCCCGTCGAGCTCCTCCTCCAGGTCGCAAACGGTCAGCCCATCGGGCTCCTCTTCAAGACCGTCACCGGCTCCGCGAGCGGAGGCTTCGGGCTGCTGTTCCTCATCCTGGGGATCATGCTGTTCGCCGGCATCGGGGCCCTGACGGCCGCCAGTCGCTGCACGTACGCCTTCGCCCGCGACGGCGCCATCCCGGGCTTCCGGCTGTGGCGGAAAGTAAACAAGCAACTAGATGTGCCCGTGAACGCAGTGATCCTCTCCACGCTGGTGGACTGCCTGCTGGGGCTGATCTACTTCGGGTCGACGGCGGCGTTCAACTCGTTCACGGGCGTGGCGACCATCTGCCTGTCGACGTCGTACGGCCTGCCGATCCTGATCCTGGTCGTGCGCCGCCGGAAGGCGGTGCGGCACTCGTCCTTCTCGCTGGGCCGGTTCGGCTACGCGATCAATCTCACGACCATCGCATGGATCTGCCTCGCCGTGGCGCTCTTCTGCATGCCCGTGTCGCTGCCCGTGACGGCGTCGGAGATGAACTATGCCAGTGTGGTGTTTGCCGGGTTTGCCGTCGTCAGCATCGTGTGGTATTTTGTCTACGCCAGGCGAGAGTTCCGGGGGCCGCCGGTGGTCGTAGCGAGCGACGAGGAGGGTCGTCAGGGTGAGAGCGAAAACGAAGATGAAAAGAGTACGGGGGTCATGAGCGGCAAGGCTGTTGTAGATGAGGAGAATGCACCTGATCCAGAAGTTACAGAAAAGAAGACTTAGCCTAGTCCTAGTCTTAGTCTTAGTCTTAGACAAGTATATAGATGAGTGTATATGCTGTATATATACTGTACTGTACATTAAATAGGAGGTATTAGTCGAGATATCTCTCCCTATTCTCTCCAAGCTCGCACTCTTCCAGCGAGTTCGAGCTTCTCTTCGAGAGTTCGTATGGCGGTGTTGTTCTGAAAGCCTTTCTCTGGAATTTTGTTTATTATTTTGAGTTTGTCCATGTAGGTGATCTTTTTTGAGAGCAGTAATGGTATGAAATCCAGACCATCTTTGGGCTCCTTGTCGAAGATTGCATGATCGTTGTCGTCGTTATTGTCCTCGTCATTGCTGTGATTGTTGTCCTTGTCATCATTGTCATTGCTGCTGTCATCGTCGCCGTCGGTCTTCTTATCAACCTTTTCCTTGGAGGTATCTTCAGTGTGTTCAGCCTCCTCAGTCTCCAAAAGCGGTTTGAAAACCATGATGCACTGGAAGATCAAGAGAATTGGAGCGACGTTGATGACCGTAATATTAGATGGTGCTGAGAATATCTGGTAGTTGATGGTAGTATGTGGCAGTTGCAAAGTGCCAAGTTGATAATCTTGATGGCATGTCTAATAATTCTCAACGAGTTGCCTGAGATTAGGCAACGGCAACTGCTCCAGCTGAGGTCTACCAGTCTACTTTTGGCAATCGATATATACCATGCGTCGCTAGGTAGGTAGTAGTACCTTCCTGGTATATTATATTATAGTTACTTGGCTACTAGTCAGCTAATCCATTTAAGTTCGTTCCCCAGACCAATGGTATTCACTTGCCCATCTGATAATTCTCGCTTAATCATCATTTACCTATCTGCGAATAACTGTCTCCTGCCTTACTCTGACTATGCTTCCAGAGAGGTACATTAAGCATGCAAGGAAGCGAGCCACTCTTTTAAGCAATGCTCTCCATGAGTTAAAGCAAGGTCGATACTTCTCCAAAAACGAGTACAAGCCATCCTAATGAAGTTACTCATCCTCCAATGCGTCATAATATTGCTGTTCGATTACGCTGACTCCCTGACCCTCAGAAACGCTCACCAATTGTCTAGTATCGGGAGTTAGATTCGCAGTAAATCTGAAAATTTTGCGAATTTGTGAGATGACTTCGCGGTCTTCGGACGGGCGTTGTCCAAAAACCAGGGCCTCTGTTGACAGCTGCGCGCTCTTAGATTCTTGAGTCCTTAAGTTGTTTTTAATGATATCTTACCACTGTATTTCCTTCAGAATCTTCGCTCATTCTAAAGAAGTTAAACGTATAACTGTCGGTAGAGATCCCGAATACCGTGGTATAGGTTCGACCCGCAGCCTTTCGAGCCTTGTGGACCATGCCCAAGACATCGATTTGCATACGCATACGTGATAGTAGAATTGACTTACCCATATAAGCTTGACATTGGTGATCTCCGTGGCTGACTTTCTCTCTGGACTTGGCTCCGACGACGACAAGATTGAATTCGAGCTCTTCAGCGGATCCATACCACAAAGTATAATCCGCCAGGCCAGACAGCTTTTGCCGTTTACCGCGAATGTCGAGTGGCATTTCGAGGCCACTTTTGTATTCTAACTTCATCGACTTCAGAGTGTTGGACCACCGTTCAGAAGCTTGAGAGCGTTCTCTTATGTGTTTTTTTCTCTAGCTGTTCTTTCTCATCCGCAAATGACAGCATGAAGATCACGTCAAGACGTGACCGGATGACCGCCTCATTGGCAGGGAAATCTCGTGTCAAATACTTAAATCTGCCAAGTACAGTGTCTGTGTTTGATCAGGTTATCGACTATTGAAACTGCAGGGTAGGACTCACCGAGAAATTCAGGTGTAGGACACTTTTCCCACTCTTCAAGACTCCAGTCATATTCTGTATCTGTTTTGGGGCGAAAAATCTTTGACACGTCGTCAGGTGTCAATATGCCGACTGGGAATTCCGGAAGTTGGGGGGGATCAGGATTGGCAAAATCCGGATTGGCAAATTCCAGGAAGTCTTCAACCTGGTCTGGAATCTCTTTGTCAACTATCAGACCTTTCTTCCCTATCTGACAAAACCCTCAACTTTCTTTTCTATTCCCGATAACCACCCGTCCTCGTCTTCTGGAGGCATTTTTGGACGAAGCTGGGGATGGAAGTTTGGGGTAGAGAAGTGGGAAGAAACAAGGCAGTTCTGGTGCCGAAGCTGATTCAACTAAGATAGAATGGTATCATTTAACTGCAGTCCACAGCTAGGAAAAGGAAAAGAAAAATTTATCTATGGGGTGGTGAGACGCTTCTTATATCTCCACGCAAGCAGGCAGAAGCAATGCACAAGCAGGCTCCAGGAAGGCAGGAAAAGCCAATAGGAACATGCTTTACTGAGGGAATGAAGTAGCAGGAGTGTACACTAGTCAGAAAACAGAGATAGAGGAGGAAGCTGCTTTTGCAGAAAAGTATTGCATTGTACCTACGTAACAGACAGACAAGACAGCAGCAAAGCAACCCAACCAACCAAATAAAAAACAAACCCAGCTAATCATTAACTCCCTGTTATTGCATTATTATTAACCCTGACAAGTATAGTATAATCAATCACCAAACCAGATCAAATCAAATCAAACAAAGTCAGACCAAGCAATCAACCAACCAACCACCAATCAACCAAAGTCCTCAGTCCAACAACCCAATAACGCAAATGGAAAGACAAAAGAAGAAGACTCGGAGACAGAATTCTGTAGATAAACATGTCATGTCATGTCATTTCGTTCCTTCAGGACGCCGTTTCATCCATGACGGGGTTCGATTCGTTTCGTCTCGTTTCAAGAGAGAAAGATAATAACAATACTCATGGTCACGGTCATAGTCATGGTCATGGTCATGTCATAACTCATAAAACTTCGCTAGCAAGGGCGGGCAGGCTGCGTCAGAAAATATCATCCGGCCACGTAAAATCCGACGGGACCCTCTTGGACCGCGATTCTTCGGGGGACCGAGAAGTAATAGCCGTAGCCGTAGCAGCAGAGTCGAGCATGTCGCCCGATTCGTAATCGTCGGTCTGCTTCGTATTCGCATATGGATACGACAACCTCGCGCCTTTCTCTAGCAGCTCCTTCGGGACTGGCGGAACGGGGGGAATGTTCTCGTCATTGCCGTGGCCGTGGCCTCCGCAACCATAACCGCCTTTCGTGACGACAGGGACCTTGGCAATGTTCTGTTCGAGATGGGGCTGGTCCTGCAGATAGAAGGATCGGTGGGATTTGAGTTGTGGGTTGTTATTATTAGTATCGGCTTGGCCCGACACCTCCTCGTCTGCATCTGCGTTCACTAGGCGCAGGTTCCTCACCGACTTCGTCGCTTTGAGACGCTGTCTGGACGGGGTCAGGCCGGGAGAACGCTTGAATGAGCGAAGAGATGGCTTCGACGCCTCCTGCTTTTCTCTAGTCTTATTAATCTGGCTGTGCGGGTCTTCTGCCTCAACCTGTTCCGGACGCGCCTTCCCAGCCGATCCAGGACTGTCATTTTCACCCACCTTCTGCGATTTCACCTGTCGGGGAGTCTGCCTCTTCGTGGACTCGTCCGTCTTTCCGCAGTCGGTGCTGTTGCCCTGGGAATCTTCTTGAACGCCGCCCGACGCTTTGGCACTTGCATTGACCCCAGACTCTGCGACAGAAGACTTTCGTTTCCGCGATAGGCTGTCCTTGCTGGCGGTGGCCCGGGATTTCGAAAGCTTGCGTGGCTTCGGGCTCACAGACCGCGCTCGAAGGTCGGAATGATCGATTACGAGGTTGTCTGGATGAGGACTCTTGGTCCGCGCAATCTCAGGCCCCGAGTCAGCTTCTTCAGAAGTTGAGCCCACCTGGTTCTGAAGAACTCTCTCGGACGGAAGGGTGGGAAGAGCGCCCGGCACAAACCGCCTCGCGTGAACGTCGTCCAGACAGATCGTCGGCACCGGAGGCTCGTCCTCCTGTGTTAGTTCACGGAGCTCCCGACGCACTCGCTCCAGCTTGCTCTCCAGACTGCTAACCTTCTTCAGCAGCTTAGCCTGTCTGGCGAGGTCTTTGCGCGATTGCCGCTTCTGCGCGGGCCGGTGAGAGTCTTCATGCGAAGGCCGCACAGGAGAGACATCGCGGTTCCTGATGGATGGTATGCTCAGCGCCGACGTTCTCTTCCGGAGATCGTGGAAGGACTTGACCTTCAGGAATCCCGTTTCGTGCCGTCCAGTCTCCTTCGTCCGACCTGTGGCCGTCTGGGCGTCATCCTGCGAGAGGCCGGTGCTGCTCTGCCGCGAGTCCCCTGCGGACAACTTGTAATCCATCTTTTCCTGTATCGCCTTGAAAGTCGCGTCCGCGATCTGCAGATCAACCCCATTGTTGCCTTTGTTGGCACCAGCAGCGCCCGTGGTACCCTTGTAGCCAGACTTCTTCAGCTCCGCATACGCCTTCTCCGCGCGAGCCTGCCGTTCCTTCATAATTTCCTTCTGTGTCTTTTGCCCATCCTGCGATCCTTTCCATGCGCCAAACGGGTTGAACGCCGAAGCGATGGCCTTCCCAAACCGGAAGATCCCCGAGCCCCTGTGGCCGAGCTGGCGGTCTTGCTTGGTCTCTTTCCCATCGTCCATCGCTGCGTCCTCGCGAAGGAATATGCTGGGCGGCTTCTCGCTCACGCGATCGTTCATGCTTCCCTCGATAAACCGCGACCGCCGCACCCGCAGGACGGGCGAGCCACGACGCCGGTCCTTGGACGACGAGCGCGGCGAGCCCGTGCCCGTTCCGTTCGTCGCGGACCTCCTGCTGCTCAAGTCGATGCGCATGCCGTGCTCGTCGTAGGCGATTTCGTCGCGTAGCGGCCAGTCGTTGGAACGGCGGCGTTTGGCAGAATGGACGGAATCCGATCGCGCATCGTGGAAGTCGTCCAGGTAGTAGCCATTACTATTATTATTATAATTGTTGTTATTGTTATCGAACTCGGACTCGTCAGCGTCGTCAAAGCGTCCTGACGTGTCAGATGTGGCGTCGTCGTTGTCGTCGGCGGCGGCGACAGCGGCGTCGGACTCGACGGCGGGGAACTTGCGTTTGGCGGAGGACAAACTCATGTCGCTGAGGGTGACGCTGTGCGACAGAATGGTCTGTTGGAGCAGGGGGTCAGCCTGGAGAGGATCCAGGTCGAGGACGAGGTCAAGATGAGGGGGTGTCTGCAGGATAAAGCAGTAGTGTCAGTAGAACCGATCGATCGAACGATGTTTATTTACTTATTTTGATTTCCGCAGTAATAAGGTAATTAGTCAAGGTGCAGAACACACCTCCGCATCGGCCTCCAGCCTCATTTGTTCTCCGCCGAAATTTCTTGCTTTTCTTCAGACTTACCGATGGTCAATGTAGTACTGTAATCCTCCTGATTCATGCAAAAGGAAAAAAGAGGCAAAAAACCAAGGGAGAGATAGATAGATAGATAATAGATAGGAATGGTATTTGATGGTATTGGTATGGAGAGGAGAGGAGAGGAGGGGGCGGTTTGTTTACATTTTCCTTCCTTCGTACAGTACAGCACAGCACAGCACATCAGCGACAGACAACAACGCACGCGATGAGCTAGCTGTCTGTCATGTCAACCCCACTACAGTTCTCTGTATGTACAGTACACATTGGCATGAATCTGGTAAATGTGAAAAAAAATACATCCTACAGAAAGAAAGAACCTGCTGCTGTACTGTACATACGTACGTACAGTACAATTCAAGTCAAGCTGGACGTCACTTTTGTCAGTCAGCGATTCTTGAAGAGTTCCGAGAGTAAAATAGTTCTTCAGCGGGTTCCATAACTTACTTCCATTGTTTCTGCAATCCAATCCACTCCAATCCACTCCAATCCGTTCGTTCCGTTCCGTTCCGTCGGGCAGGTGGGTGGGTTCTCCAGTCTCCACATTGTTTACCTTAGGTACTTCATTACTTGGATACCTAAGTACTGGAAACCCTTAGGTACCTATACAAACTACTAACTAGATCGTGAATAGATAGGTAGAAGAATCCTACATACCACACGAAATTTCTACACAAAATTTCTACACTAATCTAGAACTTTTTAGAAAACAAATATTTTGATTTTTTGACCGGGATGTAAAAGAAAAAAATAAATTCCGAATCTAAAAAAAAATTCAGCGATATCCTTGTATATATAATCCAATCAATCCAATCAATCCAACAAACCAATCAAACCAATCAAGGAATCAATCCTATTGTCGAAACGAAACAAAACGAAACCAAGATATACTACCTAACCCTTCTCAGTTGCAGAAGCCAAAAAAAAAAGAATAAACAGCAGGTTGTGAACAAAAAAACACAGAAAAAAAGGCAAACACAAACCATGGGGGTAAACATTGACCAGAAATGAAGATGAAGGAAAAAAAAAAGAAGAATTTCCAGGGGGTCCCAAAACGAGAAACAAACACCACCAAGAGCAACAACAAGAACAAGAAGAAAAAAAAAACCAACAGAAACGATGCGTAGACGTTTATCCCTCTCTTTTCCTGCTTTGCTTTTCTTTCTTTCTTTCTGAAGATTCCTTCTATGGACCCCCCTCTTTTTCCATGACCTTGATCCCGTTTTGCTGACGAGGTGCCAAGGAGCCAGGACCCCAGTTCCCGGAAGAAACAAGTTCTTTTTTTTTCGGTTTCGGTTTTGGTTTTCGGAGAGAATTGAAGAGAAAAAGAAAAACCCGTTCAGACCTGATGTGGTAGTGCTTTTCACAGTCTCGAACTCCTCCAGTCTAGAAGAAGGGAATCAAAGTACATCAACCGATGATGCATCTGCGTTGATGGAATTGAATTTGGAGGTCGGAGCAAAGTGGAACCCGGTCGTGGGGTTTGTTGTTGTTGCTGAAGATAAAACTTTCAAGATTGTAAGACACTAGGAAAGTGTAACGAAGACTCCGAAAAGAAAGGGCTCAAGAAAGGGGTGGGGGCGAGAGGGACAGGAAAGAAAGGAAAAAGGAAATGATTGGTGTCCGATGTGTTGCTGTACAGCAGAATCACGGGAGAAAAAAATTCGAAAAGAGAGAGAGCAGACAGACAAATGTAGGAAACATGTACAGGAGAAGCTAGCTGTCTGGTATAGACGTCGATAGTTGGAATCCATACATTTTTTTTTCACCGCAGACCACCAAGACGAAAAAAAAAAAAGAAGACCGAGAGATTGACTCCAGTCGAACTCCTCATAGAAAGCAAGCCCTTTTGCATCGAAAGAAACGAGCCATGCTCCCCGATGGTCGACTACTAGTTGGTTTTTTTTTCTCGCGAGTCAAACCACTTGACGGACTTTCGTGGCCGTGCTCCCGTCAGCACGTCGGTACTCCATTGACGACGCTTCCCACCGCATATCGGCCGGAGAAGGTTCTGGCACAGCACGTTGCTTGCCGTTGCTCGAGTCCTCCTCGCTATCTGGACGCTTTCCATTCTGAAGAGGGCGATCTTCCTCTTTACCAAATGTCTCGTCATGCGATCGCTTCGTCAGCGTCGAATCCGTCTCGTACAGGACCTTCTTGCCATTCGTTGCAGTGTTGTCACGGTTGATGCGGCCAGGATACTCGGGAGGAAGGTCCTTGATGGGCGGGAGCATGGCGCTCACCGGAGTAGTGGAACGCGCAGGTGGCCGCGTCGAAGACGGATACCGATGGTCCTCATACGGCTGTGGGTTGAATGGCTTGGGCGGCTCCAGACAGGTGGGAGGCGGCAGGAACCGTTCGGTCTGGGGGCGGTTCTGAGGGTATGGGTAGCATTGGGAAGACGAGTCGTAGTCAGACGAATTGGAGGAGCTTCGGGCATGCGCCACAGGCGGGTGAGGACTGTAGGATGGGGTGGGAGGAGCAGGTTGGGGTGCCGGTGGCAGTGGAGGCGTTTGGTATTGAGACTGGGTCGAGCCGAAAGTCAAGTGCGACTGGTAAGCAGGGGCATGCGTGGGCGGTGCTGGCGGCCCAGCAGGAGGTCCAGCAGGCTGCTGGTATGGCGGCGGCGGCGGATAACCATAGTCGGGAAGAGATGGTCGTCGCTGCGCGTCCGATCCATAGGCGTACGGAGCATCCACCGTGCTGTTGCTGGTCGACCGCGGGCGCTCAATCGGCGTGGCAGCGTACCCATCAGGAGTCGAGTACCGGGGCGAGCGAGCATACACCCTCTCGTCGTCGTATTCGTTGTAGTCCTTGTTGCCCTTGTCTCCACGGCGTCTCATGCGAACATCACGACGAATCCGAACCCGGCAACCCTGCTCTGCGACCACACGGCTCAGAGCCGTGCTCGTGGCCAATCCCGGGAACTTCTTGGCGCTGTACACGGTGAAGGGAACCGACTTGACTTCCAGACGGAAATGCAAGAACGTCTTGGGAGCGGTGGGTTTCATGGGCGATGTCTGCGGAATATTGTCCTGGGGAGGCAGCGGCGCATCCTTGTCGGCATCCTTGGCATCCTTGACCTCCTCGTACAGGTTGAAGTTCAGGCGGTACCGGCCCTCGTGACGAACGGACAAGTCGGGGAAGATGAAGTATCCTGCCTGTGCAGGACGGTCCAGATAAGCGATACCAGCCACGGGGACGCCAGTCAGGACCGGGCAGGTCGGAGGCTGTCCAGACATTCGGGGTTGCGCAATCGGGCGAGCCGTGTCCAGCGTGGCAAAGAGAAAGAAATTGGCATTGTAGGCGAATGTGATATCGGTCTTGTGCATATCATTGTTCGGGTCCGACTCGTAGATGCGAAGTTCCACCACAGGCGGAGGGTCCACGGGACGACGGTCGGCAGATGCTGTCCGCTGTCAGCTCGAGCTATCGTGGATAGACATGAAGGGAAGTCGTACATTTGGCGCCAGCACCACAGGCACGAGCACGTTCAGGCTGCTGAATAACCTTCAGATTGTAAGTGATCTTCTT